TCCAGTTGTTTTAGTTTCTCCATGTTCAAAAGCAAGTTTCAGAGTCTCTTCTGACATTTACTTTGTACTTTATTTCCTGTCTTTTTAAATTGCCTTTTACTTTCTTCATATACGAAGTTCTTTATGTCATCCCACAACTCTTTTAGTCTTTTGTCTTTAGTGTGTAATGCATCAAATCTATTTTTGAGTTGGTTTCCAAATTTAGGTGAGATATGTTCAATGTCATAATTTGGCTCTCATGGACTTTTAAAATTTTTCTCCAGCTTCAATCTGAACTTGCATATGAGTAATTGAAGCTCTGTTCCACAGTCTTGCCTTGTTTTGACTGTCAGAAGAACAAACAAATAAATCTGTCTTGGGTAGCCAGAATGCTCCTTAGAAGCAAGGATGGTGAAACTTTCTCTTGCACTTTGGACATGTTGTCAGTTGGTACCAGTCCTTGTAGGACACTGTGCTTGTTAAAGTGGAGGGTTGGTGCAAAAAAGGTTGATTGAAACTCAGTGAGGTGGACTGACACAGTGGTAGCAACAATGGGCTCATATCATAACAAAAGTTGTGAGAATGGTACAGAACCAGACAGTGTTCTGTTTTGCTGTTCATAGGGTTGCCAGGAGTTGGAAGCAATTCGATGGCAAGTAGCAATGACAATATTTGAACTTTTCCATAGTCTTTCCACAGATGTAGTCAATTTTTTTGTCTGTGTATTCCATCTGGCAAGTTCTACATGTATGGATGCCATTTATGTGGTTGAAAAAATATATTTGCAGTAAGTTATTGATCTTGCAAAATTCTATCATGTGATCTCTAGTGTCATTTTATTAGCAAAGTCACATTTTCCAACTACTGATCCTTCCTCTTTGTTTCCAACTTTTGCATTCCAATCTTCAGCAATTATCAATATATCTTGGTTGCATGTTTGATCAATCTCAGACTAAAACATTGGTAGAATTCTTCACTTTTTACATAATTGGCTTTAGTGGTTGGTGTGTCAACTTTAATAATTCAAGACAGAACAAGACTAAATTATTCTGTTCAGCTTGGCAATTATTTCATGACTATTTAGGAAAGTATTATTAATTATGTAAGAGTCCTGTTCTTAGATGGGAATTGAACAGAATTAAATTTTAAAACATTTCCTAAAAACACTATTTTCTGAAAGGTGCACAAATCAGTCATACTCTTTTAGATTCCATTTTACAATTGAATCCTCTTACCTTTCAAATTATGTTGATATTCAATGGTCTTTTGCAATCCTTTTATCATATTATGAAGCATAGCACATTCTAAAATATAAAAAATAACAGTTATTTGAAAATATATTTTCTTTTGTATTACTTTCTCAGAGTTGAAATATTTACAATAATATTTAATTGTAAACATAATATCTTATTGAAGAAATCTGGCATCTCAAAATAGACTACTTATTAAATACTTTACAGGGTCATTATGTGTTGGAACCAACTCCACGGCACTAAACAACAACAACAGCAACAGCATCAGCCTTTGAAATCCAGAATTTAATAATGAATTTCTAAGGAGCTCTGGTAGTGTAGTGGTTACGAATTGGGCTGCGAACCTTAAGGTCAGCAGTTCAAAACTACCAGCTGCTCTGTAGGAGAAAGATGAGGCTTTCTGCTCCCGTAAAGATTTACAGCCTCAGAAACCTTGTACAGGGTCACTATGAGTCAGAACCAACTCCACAGAACATAACAATAACAAGGGCAATAAATTTAGAATATTAAGGATTTTCTTGCTGTGCCTTAGCAATATCTGTCCTAGAAGCAAGGTATACCTGGTCGTGACTGGGGAACAATGAAGAGTCTATCCATACAAGTCTTCCATTAAAGAAGAACCCCAAGGAAAGATAGTCAAGATGTATGCCAGTTGGTCAAAGATAGAAGGCCAGGAATGGTGAGTGGTATAATGTGATATAAGACAATGCATTTTTTAAACTTTCTGTCCTCCACTCTTACCTGTTGGTATTCATGTTTGAGTCTTAGGGCAAGGAAGTATCAATAAAAAGAGCAAAACTTTAATGAGTGGTGTTACAAGGCAACAGCAGTTTTGTTACAAGTAACTTCTGCCAAAATGGGAGACAGACCTCCATTCCAAACAATAGTGCCCTAACATGTGTCACATAAACCTTGGTGGAGTCCTGGTATGGCACCATAGGATAAGTACTGGACCTCAAGGTTGGTTTGAACCACAAGGTTGGCAGTTCAAACTCATCAGCTGCTCCTTGGAAACCCTAAACAGGGGTGTGATGAGTCGGAATCGACTCAACG